ATCAGTGTTTTGTAGTTGTCTTTGTAGAGATCTTTTACCTCCTTGGTTAAATTTATTCTCAGGTATTTTATTTACATTTTTTTAGCTATTGTAAATGGGCTTGCCTTCTTCATTTTGTTCTTAGCTGTATCACTGAGATGCATAAAAACACTACTGATTTTTGTGCACTGATTTTCTATCCTGAAACTTTACTGAATTTATCAGTTCTAAGAGTTTTTTTGGTGGAGTCTTTTGGTTTTTCTAAGTATAAGATCATGTCATCTGCAAAGAGGGACAATTTGACTTCCTCTTTTCTGATTTAGATGTTTTTTATTTCTTTCTATTGCCTGATTTCTCTGGCTAGTACTTCCAGTACTTCACAATAGAAATAGTGAAAGTGGGCATCCTCATCTTGTTCCAGCTCTTAGAGGAAATGCTTTCGGCTTTTCCCCATTCAGTGTGATGTTAGCTATGGGTTTGTTTTACATGGCCTTTATTATTTGCAGGTACGTCCCTTTATGCCTAGTTTGTTGAGAGTTTTTATCATGAAGGGATGTTGAATTTCATCAAATGATTTTTTACGTCTATTGAGATGATCATATAATTTTTGTCCTTCCTTCTGTTGATGTGATATATTGCATTTATTGATTTGCGTATGTTAAAATACTTGCATCCCTGGTAGAAATCCCTTTCATCCCTTGATTATGGTGTATTATCTTTTTGATGTGCTGTTGGATTCAGTTTGCTAGTGTTTTGTTGAGGATTTTTGTGTCTATTTTAATGAGAGCATTGGCATTTGGGTTATTGTTGTTGTCTTTGTGTTCTTGTCTTGTTTTGGTATTAGGATAATGCTGGTCTTGTAAAATGAGTTAGAGAGAATTCCTTGCTCTTCAATTTTTTAAAATAGTTTGAGAAGGATTTATATTAGTTCTTCTTTATACATTTAGTAGAATTCATCAGTGAATCCATTAGGTCCCAGGCTTTTCCTTATTGGGAGATTTTTAATAACTGATTCAATCTCACTACTCATTATTGGTTTGTTCGGGTTTTCTATTTCTTTCTGCTTTAATCATGGGAGAGTGTATGTTTCTAGGAATTTATCCATTTCCTCTAGGCTTCCAGTTTGTTAATGTATTGTTGTTCATAATAATCTCTGATGATCTTTTGTATTTCTGTGGCGTCAGTTGTAATGTCTTCTTTTTCATTTGTGATTTGTTTATGTGGGTCTTCTTTCTTTCATTTTTGGCTAGTCCAACTAGCATTTTGCCAATTTTGTTTATCTTTTTGAAGAACTAACTTTTCATTTTGTTTGTTCTTTATATTGTTTGATTTGTCTCTAGTTCATTTGGCTTTGCTCTGGTCTTTATTATTTCTTTCCTTCTGCGAATTTTAGGTTGGATTTATTTTTACTTTTCTAGTTCCATTAGATTGTTTATTTGAAATTTTCTTACTTTGTCAATGTAGGCCAGTTATTGATATAAATTTCACTCTTAGCACTGCTTGTGCTGTATCCCACAAGTTTTGGTGTGTTATATTTCCATTTTCATTTGTTTCAAGAAATTTTTTGAGTTCCATCTTAATTTCTTCACTAATCCAATGGTTACTCAGGAGCATATTGTTTATTTCCATGTATTTGTATAGTTTCCAAAGTTTCTCTTCGTATTGATTTCTGGTTTTATTCTATTGTGATCTGAGAAGATACTCTGTACGATTTCAGTTTTTTAAAATTTATTGAGACTTGTTTCATGCCTAACATATGGTCAATCTGAAGAGTGTTCCATGTGCTGACAAGAAGAATGTGTATTCTGCGGTTTTTCCATTCCTTTGCCTTTAGTCTATATCTTTCTTTACTAACCTGT